GCATCCGACTTCAGCTCAGGTCCTGATCTCACGGTTCGTGAGTTCAAGCCACGCGTCGGGCTCTGTGCTGACACCCTGGAGCCTGCTTCAGATTCTGTGTCTCCCTTCTCTCTCTGCCCCTCCCTCACCCGTGCTCTGTTTCTTTCTCTCAAAAACAAATAAACATTAAAACGTTATTTTAAAAAAACAGCTAGTGCAAAGGTCTTAAGGCAGGATCAGGCTTCAAATGACATGTTTAGATATAGCCAGGGCTTGTAGCTAAAGCAAAGTGGTAGGTGAGGCCAGAGTGGGGGTAGGGGCTGGGTCATGTGGGGTTTGATAAACCAGGGTAAGGAGCTGGGAGTTTATTCTATGTGCGATGGGAAGACATTGCAGGTCTGAAACAGGAGGTATTATCTCATTAATGTTACTAAACTTCACTCTGGCCACTGTGTGAGAGAATGGATTTCAGAGCACAAAGAATGCAAGCAGCAAGACCAGCCACTGGAGCCACGCTTAAGGCAGGAGGTGGAAGTGGAGAGAAATGGACACAGTCAGGATTGATTCTGGAGTTAGTACCAACGGTATCTGCTGGTGGATGGATGACTCCGAGGACTTCCCATTCGCTCTACGCCCAGTCCTGCCTTGCCAACCAAGGATCATCTTTCCCTTCTGCCCTCAGGTTCTGTGGGGTGACTTGCCCCGTACACTAAATCTCCCTTTCCTCAACCTTCCTCCAGCTGGTCTTCGCTTCTTGCAACCCTGACCGAGGCCATCAGACACCTTCTGTGTTACAATCATCCCAACGGCCCTTCAAGGGGGACACAGCAAGCAAAGCTCAGAGAGGTGGGGCAGCTTGCCCAGTTCAGAATCCTCTGCCGGCCAGGATTCAAACCCAGGTCTTCGGGGTCCAGAGCCAGCACGTCCTCCTCTGTGCCATGCTGGATGACCAAGATAACCGCTAGTTATGCCCTGAAGTCTCAGGTCCTCCGTTCCACCAAAGAAGAACAATGGCTATCTGACTACATTCATTTCCCAGCCTCCCTTGCAGCTAGGTGTGGACGTGCTACTTTCTCCAGTGGAATATTAGGAGAAATGACGATGCAAACAGGAGCCGCGGTCCCTCCACACGCTTTCCCCTTCCTGCAGGCAGCACGCCAGGCTTGGTGGGAAGCCAGCTTCAATTTTGCAGATCACAATACAGCTTTGGGGGATTGCGGAACAATGAGTTGGAAGGAAGCTGAAGCCCTTGAATGGCCCCACGGAGCTGAGTCTGCCACAGTCCTGGAAAGCCCATGCAGTCCATCCTATGGAAAAGAAATGATATAAATTTTAATCTTTAAGTGATATTATTGTCAGGTCTCTTTGCACAGCAGTCCTGTCTTACCTTAACCGATGCATCACCTCAGCGTGATCCACAGATTTTGAATACCAGTGGTCTCTTTTGTTAAAGTCACTGAGCCCTTCAATCAATACTTCTAGACAATGCATAGATCCTTGAGTTTCCCCACTTCTGTCCATGGCTGAATTTCTCCAGTCCGAGCACTCAGGTCAATGCCTCATGCTCTTGGAAGAGCACCTTTCAAACCCAGTTTGAGTTGGAAACTGAAATTAACAAGACCTCGATCACCAAGCATGAGAAACAAATGTTTTACATACCATTATTTATTTAAAAAAAATATTTGAAGTATTGTATTCTTTCTTAATAAATGTTCAACAATTGACAAAGCAAAATTTAAAATTCATGTAATCTAATGTTAAATCTGCTAGAAAAAAAAAAGAGGTTTTTTTTTTTTTTTTGAATTGGGATCATTCCAGAGAGGCCAGCTCTCAGGGGTAATGTAGGATGTGGTCTTCCTATGTTAATGAATCACTTTACTTTTCAGAATTGTGGTGGGTTAGGCAGGGAGCAAGACAAAAACCCTAGCTGATCACAATGGGAATGTATTTATGTCAGCCAGTGAGTTTCTTCCCAAAGCATCCAAATGGGGAAAGGACAATAAGAAAAAGAGAGGCCACGTGCTTAATGGGACTCAGATGGGTCCCAATCCTGACTTGACTATGTGCTCATCAACTCATTTAACTTCTTTGAACCTCAGCTCCCCATAAAATGTCAATACTTATACCCACCTCATAGAGGTGGGGACTTAGTTATGGGGACTAAGAAAGCATCCATAACACAGATAGAATGTTCCGGTGGGCGCAGCCCTCGGGAAATGACTTCAGGACAAAACCCAAGCCGATCCTGCCTTGAGATAAGGAAGTCAGCAAGCCCGGCCTCTTTGCCACGTCATCGTGAGGGGACACACCAGGCCAGCTGGCCTCAAGGTTTCTAAATTGTCAAGGACGGGCTTCTGCAGGTGCTGTGTGGGGCAGGTGGATATGCTACCAGTCAGCAAAGCACCGTCAAGGCCTCGTGGAAAAGTCTGCTCTCCAGTCACCTTATTCTGTTGTCCAAATTCATGAACCACCACGAGGGAAGGCCCTGTTTGCTTTCTAATCCCGAAGCTGATCGTTCACTTTTTAACAAAACCAAACCAAACCAAAATCGTCCTTCTAATGTTTTTATTTATTTCTAGGAGAGAGAGAGAGAGAGAGACAGCGTGAGCAGAGGACAGTCAGAGAGAGAGGGAGTCACAGACTGAAAGAGGCTCCAGGCTCTGAGCTGGCAATCAGCACAGAGCCCAACGCAGGGCTCGAACCCACGAACCGCGAGATCATGACCTAAGCGAAAGTCGGACGCCCAACCGACTAAGCCACTCAGGTGCCCCCAAAATCGTCCTTAATTATGGTCTTTACCATTAAACAGCAAATGACTGGTCTCTGGGAAAGAGGCTAAGAGAAACAACAGATTAATTAGGTCTTTTTTGTAATGGGCACAGGTACTGGGTTTTCAGCTTAAACATATGTACATAATATCGAACATGGAAAAGCAAGTAATTTTCTCAGTATAGTTTTGATCCCTCTCCCCCCATGCTGAGACCATGCTACTGGGTCTGACGGCCATCCACTTCCATTCCTTCCAAGCCTCTCCTCCAAGTCTCCAAGACTTCCCAGCCTCTGTACTGAGCACTTGCCCTCTCTGATGCTTTGATACCCCTCCATCTCCCAGCGAAGTATCCGGGTCTTCCATCAGCTGCTATTTCCCTGTATACCCTTAACCCCTTGAGTCACGCTCTAGAAGACATCATGCCAAGATTATTGGGATTTTCTAGCCGGTCTCCACCTCCCGTTTCTCCACACCATCTTCCATTGGCCTACCAAAAGTGCAGCTTCATTTATATCACTCCCCTGCTCAATAACCTTCGATGGCTGTCTGTCGCTCATTCCGCAATCAAGGTTTTCCACGATATGGCCCCAGCCTGGCTTCTCAATCACATCCCTCCTCCGGTACCCACATTCCAACCAGACTTCATCGCTCCTTATTGAACTCGCCCACCTCTCGCCATCTCCATGCCTTTTTCATGTGATTCCTCTGCCTGGAATCCTCAGCCTCCTTCCCATTCGCTCACACACTAAACTCAGATCCAACTACCGGAGACCATCTCAAGGGGCGCCTCTTCCATAAGGACTTTCTCCATCCTTCCAACCTAACTTCTAAATCTCATGACATTGTATTTGCACTTTCCTTCTGTCTCTTGTTCCCCTCTACCTTACAGTCAGCTCCCAAATGCTTCTGGTTGGAAGGGAAGATCGGGAGACTGGGCTTATTAAATCTCATACTTGCAAAAGCACTGGGTTCACTAGAATTCCATGGGGAGGGAGATCAGATGGAGCTGCTCAGGCACAACCCGCCCCCCGCCGCCCCCTCCCCATGCCACACAGCCACTGAGACCTTCTTGCTCTTCTTTGCTTTCTCCCACTGGACTGCAAGCACCTCTTTTTATTAAGCTTATTTATTTTGAGAGAGCACGTGCATGCAAGCTGGGGAGGGGCAGAGAGAGAGGAAGAGAGGGCCTAACAAGCAGGCTCTGCGCTGTCAGTGTGGATCTCGACGCAGGGCTCAAACTCACAAACCGTGATATCATAACCTGAGCGGAAATCAAGAGTCCGATGCTTAAGCCACTGAGCCACCCAGGCGCCCCTGGACTGCAAGCGGCTTAAGGGCAGAGGCTGTGTTCCCTGAGTGGCCACCTGCTGCAGGGGGCAGCACAAACACCAGCTAGTGGAGAAGCTTCCTAACAGCAAGCGGGCGGGATTTATAAGAGCAGACAAGGCCTCTGGGAGGCGTTCAGCCTGCGCAGCCTCTGCCATGCAAAATCAGCAGGTCCCCAGCACCCAGTCCCTCCTGGCGTCTCACAGAGGCCGCGTGGGAGACAGTCAGTCCCTCCTTCTCTAACAGGCTCCCGTCGGAGCTCCTGCCCCGCTTCTCCTGCAAGCTGCCCCCTTTTCCTTTTGAACCTGCTGTTACCCAAACATAGTGGGGTGACCCCCAATCCAGAGACAGCCCCCGACGCCAGCCCTGCGTGAAGGGTCCCACCGACGCACTCTGTGTTGTTTTGTCAGCTGGGAAGAAATCCTTCATCGCTTTCCCCAGGAACCCACCTTCTGAGGGGGCGCTCCCCACCAGTAAGCGCCACCTTGCATTTGAAACAGCCAGAGACAGCAGATCACCCGGGTAGCACCAGGGCATGGTGCCTCCTTCCACCAGGGGACCCCCAAGCCCCGACTGATAACTGTGCCCCTCTCAGCAGGTTAAAGCTCTCCCCACGAACTACGGGTTTCCAGAAGCAGCCTGGAGGGGCATCCAGCCATGGCACATATCAGTGACCAAAAAAAAAAGCGAATAAGAAGAGACAGAGAGAAAGAAAGGGAAAAGAAAGAGTAGCCAAGAAGGGGTGGAAGCCACAGCTCTCACGTTTTTCTACAAAAATGCCACCAGGGGCACCTGGGTGACTCAGTCGGTTAGGCGTCAGACTTCGACTCAGGTCATGATCTCAAGGTTCATGGGTTCGAGCCCCGCATTGGGCTCTGTGCTGACAGCTAGCTCAGAGCCTGGAGCCTGTTTCAGATTCTGTATCTCCCTCTCTCTCTCTCTCTCTCTCTCTCTGACCCTCCCCTGTTCACGCTGTCTCTTGCTCTCAGAAATAAAAGAAACATTTTTAAAAAATTTAAAAAAAAAAATGAGAGGCCAGGGTTCATGAGTTCGAGCCCCGAGTCAGGCTCTGTGCGGGCAGCCCAGAGCCTGGAGCCTGCTTCGGATTCCGTGATTCTGCCTCTCTCAGCCCCTCTCCTGCTCACTCGCTCACTCTCCCTTTCTCTCTCTCAAAAACATTAATAATAATAATAAATCTGAGGCCAGATTTTAACCTCTCCCTTGGTAACTGCATACTGGACAAGAGAGAAGCTGATACAGAATTACTCTTGTTTTTAAAATTTTTTTAACTTTTTTTTTCTTAAGTAGTTTATTGTCAAGTTGGTTTCCAGAATTACTCTTGTACTGCATTGGACACTCACTCCCCCCACCCCTTGTTCCTTAATGGCCTTTTTTTTTTTTAACACTTGAGCCCAGGTTAGCCTGTTTCCTGTTCATATTGTAAGGAATCCAGGCCCTCTGCGGTTGAAGAAAGACCAGCATCCCTGGGAACTTTATATTAGGAATGTTTCTAGAGTGTTGGTTGAAAGCATGTACATTTGTTAATTTGCACCTTAAACACACCCCGTGGCCTCATTTAACTCTGAGCCCCCGTGTGTGTCTTGTAACTATATGCATGGCTCCAACTTCATCAAGTACTTAATGAGGAGCATTAATATTCGTCGTCACCTCCAAGGGAGCCTAGCACATCGAGGTAAATATTTGTTGGCTGTATCCACAGTCTGTGGTTGGGCTCAGAATTGTCTGTCCTCATCCAGACAGCCAACTGTTTGTCCCCCAAGATGGGAAAACCCTGCTGGGTACTTTCCGGAGGCTTCACTGTAAAACGAGATGTTTCCACTTACCCATCTTTTACAAATGCCAAGCGATTTGGAAGAGCAGTAAGAAATCCATTATCTGGGTGACAGTCATTCAGCATGTCTATTATGTGCTGGAGGGCACCTGGGGATCCAATGGTGACCTGTCCTCATGGTGCTTACAGTCTGGTGGGAGAGCCCTACATTTATGGAAAGGTCACCCTAAAGAAAAGGCAACTTCGAAGTGAGATCAGCGTTTGGCAGGCAACGTGTGGGGTGCTGGGAGAGCCATTCCCTAAAGGAGAGAGATTGGAGCTGAGCTGAAAAGATGAACGTAGGGAGAAATTAGTTACTCAACGACAATTAGGGCAGGAGCACACAGTTGCACACAAGTGCGCATGCTCACATGCACACACGTCTAGTACAACCCCTCTGTTTATAGCGGAAGAAACGAGGCCCACCCAGGGCCCAGAGCTAATTCTAGAAACCGGCGATCCCAATATCTTAATCCCTTCCTGCTAAATCGCTAAATCACATGGATTTTATTTACATCCCAACCATAGATTATTTCAATACATCTGGCCAATAAATCGCAGAATATTGAGTTAAAACCACATCCCTCAAGACCACAAGCATAAATAACGATCGTGTTTTAATGTGGATGGTACCTTTTCATTTTGCAAATCCAAGTTCTCATATCAAAATCCGAGACAGTTTGTTTTCTGTACGAACGGGAAGGTCATAACCCGTCTGAAACGCGCTGGCAAAATCTCTCTAACCGCGCGACGCTAATTGGGGCGAGAGCTGTGTGTTGAGGCTGACTTCACGGCCCAGCTGGGGGTTTCAGATTCGCACATGGCGACTGGGTGGTTCTTTACCCTTTCACGGCAAGGGTCTCTCCCCGGACTCCGGAAGCCTCGGGGGCTTTACCGCCGTGCTCGCCAGTGTATGCCTGCGGTGCTGCAGGGTCAAACATTCCTTTGAAATGCCCGTGAGAATCCACTTGCAGTCTGTGCGTTTGCATGTAAAAGCAAGGTCTGCAGAGGATCCCACACTGACCCGAGGTTACCCCTGGGGAGCTGCTGCAGTGGAAAGGGGACGTGATACGGTCAGCTTTTCACTCTAGATCCGCCTGAGTGGCGTAAAACTGTGCACAAGAACCTGTTCGTGTATTGCACGTTTGATGCATGTGTATGCATTTTTTAAACGAAAAAGCTTAAACTAACATCTCAGGAGAACAAAGGTGCGTCTCCGCAGAGAGAAGCGTTTCTTCTGGATGCGACTGCCTATTCCGGAAATTTCAGAGGAACTCCCCCGCCGACCAGGGTGGAAAACATGCCCTCCGCAGCCTCCCACAGGGAAATTTGGAAAGTTGGAGGCGCCCCGAGGGTCGCCGCACTTGCTGCCCGCGCCCCCGCCCCCTTCCCGGTGCATTTCGGCGGGTCCTGACTCCGCCGCGTGCGCACCCCCATCCACCCAGCCGGTGCGGGTGCCGGAGGGTGCGGCCGCGGCGGGGCGGGGCCGGCCGAGCGCGCGCCCCCACCTCCTCTCCCGCCCGCCCCGCCCGCGCTCGCCCCCCGCCCGCGCCCGGGGCGCCCGGCCCGCCCCCTCCCCTAGCGCGCAAACGAACCTCTCGACGCCGCGCGCGGCAGCGGCGGCGGCGGCGGCGGCGGGCGGGGGCCGGGCGAGGGAGGGGGCGGGCCCGAGCAGCCCGGACTCCGCAGTTGTCTCCGGAGCGCGGGCTGCGCCGCCCGAGCCGCTGGGCTGGGGAAGCACTAGCGCTTGGCTCCCGGGCCGGCTCCTCCAGGCGCTCGCGGGCATGCAGCCCGGGAGCAGCCGGCGCGCCCCGGGCCGGTGCTGAGCCGGCCGGGGCGGCGGGGACCCGCGCCTGCCGAGCCCCTCCCACCTTGCCCCGGGCCCCACGAGCTGCGCTCCGGCACCCGCTCTTCGCCCGCACCCCAGCCAGCGCCACCCCCCACCCCCCCACCGCGGGCTGCAGGGGCTGATGCAGCCGCCAAGGTAAGCGCGGGCCGGGCGCGGGGCAGACCCGGCTCTGACATCCCCGAGCGCCGCCGGCACTTGCGGGTCCTCTCCAGCCCCGCGTTCTCTTCTTGCTCGCGTCTTGTCCACATTTGGAGCTATGCTGCGCCTCGATCGCTTTAGCTCTTGGCAGCAGTAAAGTTTTTGTGGTTTATAGTATGTGCTCCTTTTTCCTAAAATGCTCTCCCCGGGCAGCCGGCGGCGCGCGTGCTTGGACAGACCCGGCGAGCGTCCCTTCCACGGCGTGCGGGCTGGGAGCTCTGTTTCCCCCGCGCGGTCACCGCCCGGCCCGCACACCCTGGGACGGAGCCGGTCGGCGGGCTGTGCCGCCGTGAACCCCCGTTGGCCCGACTCACCCGGGCCCCCTCGCCCAGCTCCGCGCCTGGCTGCCTCGGTCAGCTGCAGAGCCGCGGGACGAGCGCCGGCCCCCGGGAGGCGGGGGCGGGGGGGGGGGGACGTCGGCGCTGCACCTCTGGGCACTTGGGTCCCAGCGGTCCTTTGAACTGGGAGCATCAGTACGCAGGAAGGTGCGGGACTTGGGTTCAGTGCTAAGGGGTGGCCGCGACCGCCTGAGTGGCCCGGGCGTTCCTAAGTGGAGGGGTGGGCCCGACGGGCCAGGCGCACGCCTGGGAACTAGCTGAAGCATGGGGACAGGTGTATTTAGGGGGAGGACCCGTGTGTGTTGGGGTGGGGGTCGGGGGGACGCTCGGTCGCAGTTCTTGATTGCATCCTGTTAATGTAATTGCATTAGATTTGCTCCGGGGCAGAATCAATTCCCCCAAAATATAGATTTTTAATGGGAGCCTGCGAGTTGCTATTATGTATGTGGTGTGGTTTCGGAAGGCGTTGGGTTGTATTTATTTTATAAATCGGGTGTCTTGAGGGAGCAGTTGGGGAAATCGCGCCATCTAGCGGAAGTGGTAAGCCGCGCGCTCCTTTTAGGCCGCGAAGTTGCGCGTTCTCAAAGGAGGCGACCCCAGCGCCAGGTAGAGAGGGGGTGAGTCCTCCCAGGAAGAGTGGTTTTCCTAGTTATCCGCGTGTCTAGCATCTGGATGAGCGGGAGCGCCCCGACACCCCCAGCTCAGCGCGCCAAGCTCAAGGGACAGAATCACAGGTTGTACCGAGTGGCAGGCTGTCACCTCGAGGAGATCCGTCACCTTCTCCATCTGGCTTTAGGTTCTCCAGGAAAAACAGAAAATGTTACCTGCGGGTGAGTGGATACTCATTGTTCGGGCATCAGTCGCAGGGGAAAAAAAAGAGAGAGAGAGAGAGAGAGAGAGAGAGAGAGAGAGAGAGAGAGAAAACCCAAGCGCGCACCTTGCTCTTCTCACCTTGCTCTGAGTGATTTTTCAGGCTAATCTCAAGCCAGGGCCGCTAGAAAGAGATTGGCTGAAGGCTCTGAAGGAGAAGTGGGAAAGGTATGATCTTGCAGATCATACCGAAATAGCATTTTTTTTTTTTTACATATACAGAGGGCTTCCTAGTATTTCACTGCCACGGCAGGTGACAAGCAAGCCCCCTTTATAAGGGAGATGATCTCCCGGGAACAACAGGCGCTGACTTTGCTGGGTGACCAGCAGAGCCGACAGAGGCTCTGGGTGGAGCGCCCACACCCCAGGCGCGCTGCACATTCTCCGTGGCTGGTTTTTGCTGCCACCTTACAGGCCAGATGATATTAGCAAGCAGCCGGGTTCTCCCGATTCTAAGGGAAAGGGATAGGTTGGTTCCTTGGAGCACAGCATGGTGTCCCCTTGTGGTGAAGACCCTTGCGCCCTTGAGATCCTCTTCCCCGTGGTGATGGTGGGGGAGGTCCCAGATGCCTTTGTTTTACTAAAAAAAAAATTTAACATTTATTTATTTTTGAGAAACAGACACAGAGCACGAGCAGGGGAGGGTCAGAGAGAGAGGGAGACACAGAATCTGAAGCAGGCTCCAGGCTCCGAGCAGTCAGCACAGAGCCCTTGGCAGGACTGGAACCCACAAACCTTGAGATCATGACCTCAGTAGAAGTGGAAGCTTACCCCACAGAGCCACCCAAGCCCCGGCCCCCCTCCCAGATGCCTTTTAAACAAGAGCCCAGCTCCTCCCTTTTCCCTTCCTGGTGACAGACAGGTGCTTACATTCCAAATAGAGTGTGGAATGGTAGGTGGCGTATCTGCCTCCCCATGCTGCCTCACCCTTAGCAGGCGTTTATTGAATAACCAGATTTGTGACAGAAAGGGTCTTGCGGTGACCTGGCATCTCACTCAAGGAGGGCTTCTCTGACCTTCGCTAAGAAACGCCTTACGAGGCTGCCTCCCTAGTGTGTGTGAAAATACAGAGTGGGGCCATCAGAGGCTCCTATTGAACGCAGCGCAACCCTTGACTTGGCCCTTCGGCCAGCCACCCCACGTGAGACCAAACACAGGAATTCTTAGATGAAGAGATGCGGAATAAGATGAGTGGGTACTGAGCGTCCCTGACACCGGGACAGGAAGGGTTTTCAAGCCATTGTTATACTGATGCTCACCAGACCGGTGATGGCATTTACACCTCTCTAAAGAAATGGATGTCCAGGGAAGTGTAGCCCAGGCTCTGTGGGTTTAAAGTGCTTCTCCCCGCCTTCAACCTTGCTACCAAATGAATTAAATTCAAGCGCTTGCTTTTCCCACGGATGGTCCCCAAATTCAGTCACGCCTTAGGTATGATCACCGATCTCTTGAGAGGTCTGCATCCAGGGAAGGGAATGGGATATCTCCAAGTGAAACGGAACATAAACAAACTGGGGTTTCAGAAACCAGTGCAGGCTCATGTGAAGCTGTTAGCTCTGTGAAATGAAAAGGCACTGCTCCGTAAAGATCATTGTTCTAGAACCTGCCTGACTTATAATAAACCAAAGGTAAGTTCAAATAACGTTTCAGCGTCTGCGGTGTTTCTGTGGCTCTTTCGGATGATGGCTTGGCTTTTCAGACAACGTCCATCGTTTATTCAATCAACAGACTTAATATAAATTTAACCCGAAGAAGGGAGGCGCCAGGCTGTCCCACCTGTCCGGTAGCCAGCCCCGTTCAAAGGACAGAGTCCTGGTTTTCTCATTGTGACCAGACGGCGGTAGTTTTACAGCCTCTCTTCCTTTCACAGCAACAGAGTTATGACAGAGCACTGAGCAGAGCAGTGGAAAAACTAAGGACTGTCTCACCCAAGTGTGCGTACAAGGTCAGGCAGAAGTCAGTTTCCTTGGTGACAAATAAACATCTTTTAAAAGGATCCCCAGTTTCTTAGCCAGGTGTGACCCTATGAGTAGAAAATGCAGTATCAGGACGCCTGGATGGCTCAGTCAGTTTACGTGTCCGACTTCTGCTCAGGTCATGATCTCACGGTTCGTGGGCTCGAGCCCCGAGTCAGGCTCTGTGCCGTCAATGTAGATCCTGCTTCAGATCCCCTGTCCCTCTCTCTCTGCCCCTCCCGACTTGTTCTCTCTCTCTCTGTCTCTCACCTTCTGTCTCTCTCTCTCTTAAAACAAATAAATAAACTTTACAGGAAAAAAAACGCAGTATCCTGTTAGAGCCTAGCAGTTGAAGCAAGAATGACTGCTGAGTTGTGAAACCTTTTATAATTCCAAGGGCAGTAAGAAGAAGACATTTTGAAACTTGGGCAGAAAATAGCAAAGTAAATGCAAGTATCTTTTATAGCCTCATTTAAAGAATTTCAAGTCACTGCTACTTGATGAATGTATGAATGCCCTATGTACTTACTTGACTTATAAAACTATATGCAGATCACTACAGTGAAGAATTCAAGTGTAGCGAACACTGTTGATGCAGAAGAAAATTACAAAACTACTACTTGAGTTTACTTCGTGTTCTCCAGTTGTTTGTTTAAAGCAACACTACGAGATGAAGAACTTTCTAGAATCAAGACACTAGATCTGCCAGAGTCTGAAAATCTGGCAAAAACTTGAACACAAAAGCATCTGTCATCCATCTGGAGGACCAGGGCTAATTTCTGTAGTTTCTGTTCCTCCACGGGGCATAGCAGAGGTCAGCAGATAGGAGTAAAAAATGCCCTAAGACTTACTGCATAGTATGTGTGAGGCATTGTTTGGTAGTTACCAGCCCTCCTGACTGCTACTAAGTATGTTTCATTTTTCCATGTTCGGGGCCTCTCAGACTCCAAGTCTTTGCAGCAGCAGCTTGCCTTTCTGACGGCAACGATTTGTCTCGTTTCCTGGTAATACTCAGTTCTCCTGCCCTCGTGAGCAGAGATATTATGGCCAAGTTCGCAATAAGAATCTCAGTACTGTTCCTTTATGCTTAGTACCCCATTCCTCTGACAGTGGACACAGACCATTTTTTCATCCTCTTCAGGAGCTGTGAGGACTTCTCTCCCTGATAACTTTTTGAAACACGGTCAGGTTGGGGCGCCTGGGTGGCTCAGTTGGTTGGGCATCTGACTTTGGCTCAGGTCCTGATCTCTCAGTTCGTGGGTTCGAGCCCAGCGTCAGGCTCTGTGCTGACAGCTCAGAGCCTGGAACCTGTTTCACATTCTGCGTCTCCCTCTCTCTCTCTCTGCCCCTCCCCCTGCTCATGCTATCTCTCTCTCTCTCAGAAATAAATAAAACATTAAAAAATAAATTTAAAAAATATAATAGAAAAAGATTAAAAAAAAAAAGAAAGAAACAAGATTAGGTACAAATGTACAAAGACTTGCCCCAATGGCCTCCTGAACGTTCGTGTATAAGCGTTGTCGGCCACAACAGTGATGCTCTATCTGGGAGTTCAGTCTCCTACTACTAGTCTCTGATACATTTCACTGCTCTGTACCACATGGATCTCTTCCCTCCAGTTAGCTCTTTACAAAGCCATGATACCTTGGGGCGCCTGGGTGGCTCAGTCAGTTAAACATCGCCTTCCGCTCAGGTCATGATCTCACAGTTCGTGAGTTCGAACCCCGTGTCAGGCAGGCTCTGTGCTGACAGCTCCCATCCTGGAACCTGCCTC